GCAGCACAAGAAATTCAAGCCTTACTTAGGAATTCGGCGCCATATTGAAAATGTATTATAAAAATAAAAAACAAATTATCCTGTATCAAGATATGATTTTGTAAGTGTAGTATTTTTATTGCTTTTTCCTTCCTCCTCTTATAATTGTCATATTTTTGCCAATTCTTAATCGATTTGTGATTTTTATACCTCATTTATTTATTTATTATTTATTTATTTATTTATTTCCAACAGGTGAAACCCAATTACAGGAAACGCTGAAAAAAATAACAATTAAAGAGACATGGTTCTTGGAATTAAATCCATAGTATCACTCATTCTAAATAAGATTGGATGATCTATAGCAGTTACTAATCGATGCACAACTGTCACTGTAAATATCACACGATTCAGTAACACTGTTCATGACGCAGCACATGAGATTAATTGGCGATTTTGTCATAACATTTGTACGGCCTGCTTGACAATAGTATGCCGTTTTTTGTCAAGTCCCTAGCCTTGGAACGCGGAAATATATTTTTTCAAGTAAATTTTGACAGTCAATTTTATTGTGAATGAGGCCATACAAAAACGACAAAGCAAATATGTTTCGTCTTGTTGACAGTGAATCCAAATTGAAAAACTCTAATAGGGCACTATGGTCACAACCTCTTTCTGTATAAGAACCTGTGCATTTAATGTGAAAATACTTTAAAGCTTTACGTTGAATGGCCTCAAGGATCACGACAGAATTTTGGTATATACGAGACCAGATCAGAGTCACATACTCCAACTTGCTCCTGACAAAAGTAAAAAATAAAGTCATTAATGTATCAACATTGGAGAAACCCTTCCAGTTTCTGATACAGAAACCAAGTAGTCGAGTGGCAGCCGATGAGATATTAAGTATATGCTCAGTAAACGTTAGCTTGGTATCAAAAATGACTCCAAGGTCTCTATAAGAGGTGCATCTGTCTATAACCTGACCATTGATGTTATAATTATCATAAATTAAATAGTTAACTTTTCTTGTATAAGTCATAACTTTACATTTCGAAACATTCAGACTGAGACAGTTTCTTGAACACCATGACGAAATTAGAGCTAAGTCATCTTGCAACATGACGCAATCCTCGACTGTCTTGACTGACGTGCAGATTTTAAGGTCATCAGCGAAAAACAAATGGAAAACACTTCAGTTCAAAAGACAAGTGATTAATAAATATTAAAAACAATAATGGACCTAGATTTGGCCCTTGAGGTACCCCAGACGTGGCCCGATAGTAACTCGACCTATGACCACCATATTCGACAAATAACCTTCTATCCCTCAAATATGAATTCATGAGCGACAGCATTGCATCAGACATACCCACTGTTTTAAGCTTATCCAGAAGTGCATAATGATCAACTTGATCAAACGCCTTCTGAATATCTGTGTAGATGACATCAACTTGTACCTGACCGTCCAGTACTTCAGAAATGTACTGAGTAATTAGAGTCAAGGTGGTGACCGTAGATCTACCTCTCATAAACCCATGCTGATTAATAGATACTGCACCCCTGACCAGCAGTAAACCGTTTCATGAGCGATGATCTCAAACAACTTGCTGAAATTGCACAGGATTGCTATTTGGCGATAGTTGGAAATATCAGAGATATCTTCAATTTTGTGAATAGGACATATTTTAGAGGTCTTCCAGATATTTGGATATGTCTCTCATTTTAGAATTAGGTTGAATATGGAAGCCAGCGGTTTCGCTAGTATATGAATGCAATCTTTAACGAAAAAACTTGGAATACCATCACATCCAGACGTCATTTTGTTCTTTAATCTTTTCGAAGCCCTAATTACGTTTTCTTCACTTATATTTTTTAAAGAAATGATATCGGTAGAATTATTTGTTGGATGAGATGACCCTAGTAGACCAGACGGGATAAAAACTGTTGAAAAGAAGTTAGCAAAACTGTCCACTATATCCTGAGGCATATCGCAGACATTGCCGTTAAGCGTCATCCTTGGGGGGATTCTAGATTGCTGTTTTTTGATCTGGGCAAATGACCAGAATTTGCTAGGATCATTGACAATGGCATCCTCAACCGATTAGACGTAAGCGGAGTAGGCAACACTGATCTGGTTCTTAATGAGCTTCCTAAAATTACTGAACTGATCATAAGAAAACTTAATACCGTCACGTTTCCAGTTCCTTCTTGCTATGTCCTTCTTCTTGATATTAAGTATAATTTCACGTGTGAACCACGGGGGATACGAAACATTTTATTTTTATATTTAGGGACATGGACCTCAAAGATGTTATTGATAACTGAATACAAGGCGGTACAAGCGACATCAACATTATCTGCACTATCTCATTTGAAAGGTAATGAAACTTAGATGTTTTCTAATTATTTTGTACGAAAAATTTTTATGCGACTTTTTCTTTTTGAGATGAACGAAGATTTTTTTAACAAAGATCGAACTATTTTGAAGCTTACTGCATGAGATAACGTCAATACTGTACATTTGAGTATCAATTTTCGTATTTTAGAATACTTTTTATTGTAAAACAAAAAAAAATCAAATGAAACACCCAATTTTCAAGTTTTATGACTTGGTTAACGTATGAAAGGCGTTAATTTTATAAAATCTTAAAAATTAGTATAATTCGAAAACGGCTAATTTTCGGACAGTAGTTCCTATAGTAAAATCGACTCCGATTGGCTTGTACTATCTCCCCCCACCGGCTCCGCATCTATTTTTCCGTCACCCTGTAGACAGGATACTATATCATAGAACAGTATTCAACTTTGGATCGAACAAATGAATTATACGAGGATTGTTTTAAAATAACGTTTCCATATTTTTTTCAGGCACAAGAAATTTTTTATTTAAAGAAACGCAACATCGCAAACTTTAAGCATTAAGCTACTTTTCAAGATAGTCGCCATTTTTTCTAGCAACAACAGACAATCCTGGTATTTGTCCCAGCGGCTTTCAGTTTCTACCACTACCTTACCGGGCTGTACTTTAAAAGTTCGTATGAGAAATGGAATTCTGTAAACAACTAACAAATTCACATTATGGAAGAACAGTTTTGACATATAAATCCGAACACCCAGCTTAAATGGTTTTATTTTAATAAAAGTTGGTGAATGTATTTATCTTACTGTAAATAACAAGTGAAAAAATGTTCAGCCTTATCAGTTGGACATTCCGGTTTTTATACTGCTTTTTTTTAATTCACTAACGCTCTAAAAATGAATATTTCAGCCGCAGTAAAGAATCAACGTTGGCGGATTTTGGTTCTTGACATCCTTTACGATCGGTTACGATGCCTAGAGTACGGAGACCTGTACGATTTCGTCAACTTAGTGAGTTTGATAGGGGCCGTATAGTGGGACTTCGGGAAGCTGGACTTTCTTTTCGGGCAATTGCAATTAGAGTGCAAAGAAGTGTAGACACTGTGGTTAGGTGTTGTCAGGCATGGCTTCGAGAAGGCCGTACGCAAAGAGCAAGGGGCACTGGACGCCGCCGTAGAACAACAGACCGTGAAGATCGCCGCCTAAGATTATTGGCCTTAACGGACCGTTTCTCCACTACCAGGTCCATTGCAAATGAATGGTTTGCAGAACACGGAAGACCTATTGGCATGCGAAGTGTTTACCGACGAATGAGAGGTTTTGGCTTGTTTTCATACCGGCCACACTGGGTCCTCCCTTTAACTCGAGAACACCGACGTAATTGCCTTGAGTGGTGCAGACAACGGTCACTCTGGGATCAGGAATGGAACAGTATTGTCTTTAGTGACGAGTCTCGATTTTGTTAAGGCATGCACGATGGTCGTGCCAGGGTTAGAAGGCGACGTGGTGAAAGGAGGAATCCACAGTTTTTTGTTGAAAGACATGTTCATCACACTGTTGGAGTTATGGTTTGGGGTGCTATAGCTTATGGTTCTAGGTCACCTTTAATTTTCATCAGAGGTAACATGAACGCGCAGCGTTATATCCACGAAGTTCTAGAACACCATCTTTTACAATATCTTGACACCCTGGCAGATCCAACTTTCCAACAAGATAATGCCCGACCACATGTTGCAAGGGTCACAATAGACTTCTTTCAACATAATGATGTCACATTGTTACCATGGCCACCAAGATCTCCCGACTTATCCCCAATTGAGCACGTGTGGGATATGATGGGTAGGAGATTGCTCAATTTGCAACGTCCTCCTCAGACTCTAGAAGCACTTCGAGAGGAGTTGGTGGTTGCCTGGAATGAGATACCACAGGAGGACATTGACCACCTGATCAGAAGCATGCCTAGGCGCGTTGGAGAATGCGTAGCACATCAGGGTGCATCCACACGTTATTAAAGGTCAAAGGGCTTTAAAGCAGTGCAATCATTTTGAAATTTTTATAATTTACTTATTATGCTTTATTAAGTACTTATACAAGATTTTATTAAAATAAAACGATTTAAACTGGGTGTTCGGATTTATATGTCACTTAGTATATATGTAAATTTGTCTAACTCTTTCACAATGACATCCTCACGACTGTTTCCACTTAGGTTTGCTCTATCGACCTTTATAACACTGTTCGAAAAGTTATTACCGATTTATAAAAAACGTCTCCGTCTTCTGCAGGTAAATATCATTTATTTTGCTTTCGGAATGTGACATTGAAGCGAATCGCTTAGCTGCAATACACGTACTGCTATAATGCGAAGCAATTTTCTTACATAATTATTTACTACAAGCAGTAGAACCGCCTATATATAAATGCCAGATTCCAATTTGAAACATTCCTGCGTCAAAAAAGAACTGCGTATTCGTGCAACAAAAGGTCTGGTATATGAACCAGCAGTCATAGTTTAACGTAATAGTAAAAGCATGTTTTTATCTCTGCATAGCACTGTTACGAGGGATGTCTTTTAAGTTTTGCATATGGAAATAAAACAACACGGTAGGTAGTTTTAAATGACTTTATTGTTTTTCGAAGTATTCCCCACGAAGATTAATTCACATCTGCATGCGCTCGAACCAATTTTCGAAGCACTTATTCCACTCGTTTCCTGGCAGATCCAAAACGGCATTTTTGAATGCGTCAACTGCTTCTTCTGGTGACTGGAACCTTTGACCACGCAGTCTGTTTTTAATTTTCTGGAAAGTAAAGAAATCGTTAGGACTTAGATCGGGACTATATGGAGGATGGTCCAATAATTCCACGTTTTCTTTCGTTAAATACTGCCTTGTTTTTTGGGCTGTGTGCGAGCTTGCATTGTCTTGGTGGAGGATGATTCTTCTTTCGGGGTTGATTTTTCGAAGGTAACCCCCAATTACAGAAAAAAATACAAGAAAAAGTTACATAATTAGCAACAGCGGTAACGCCAAACACAAAAGAAAAACTTAAAAACAGAAAAAACAAACTCTCACTGACAAAGGTCTCTTTAGCACTTCACAACAAAGTTCTCACTATCAAAAAATAAGTCACAGGAACTGCAAACAGAATTGAAACATGTACAAATCGTATTTACCGGAGATCTATACAATAAATTAGTATTACCAATAAACGGATAGAAAGTAATTTGAGCACGATTTCCCAACCTAGGCACACGAAAATTAAGCTTACTTAATATGAATGAACAATCAACTTGATTGGGTATGATTTTGCTCAAAATATGTAGGGCTGATATGTCGCGTCTAAGATGCAATGACTCTATATCAAAAATGTTTAGTAAAATAGAATGGTCGAAACCTCTTTCAGGATAATTGCCGTAACATTTGTAATACAAATACTTTAAAGCCTTACGCTGCACATATTCAATACTAACCCTTGAATTGTTGTAGATTGGAGACCAAATTGATGAGGCGTATTCCAGCTTACTTCTAATAAATGTAAAATATAAAAGCTTTAGAGTTGATATGTTTGAAAACCCTGACTAATTCCTTACAAAAAAGCCTAGCATCTTAAACGCTGAATTCACCATTTGAGTGATGTGATCCTTGAGTGTCAGCTTGGCATCGAATACAACACCCAATTCTTTGAACGTTTCTGATCTTTCGACTAAGTGATCATTGATACTATAATCATAATGTATTACACTTTGCTTCCTACTAAAAGACAGAACTTTACAATTTGATATATTAATCCACCAAGAATGCACCAAGTTCAAGCTGCTTTGAAGGGAGATACAGTCGTGATAGCTCTGAATAGCGGTATAAATTTTTAAGTCATCAGCATAAAGTAAATGCATGCCAGGCAATTCCAGCGACAGATCATTGATAAACAACACAAAAAACAAAGGACCCAAATTGGATCCTTGGGGCACTCCAGATGTTGCTGTATAAGAATTAGATTTAAAACCACCAAACTCAATGTACAGATTTCTATCAAATAAATATGATCTGATCAACTTCAATAAAGATTTAGACAACCCAATCATTTCAAGCTTAGAAAGAAGCAAGTAATGATCTATCTGATCAAAGGACTTTTGAATGTCGCTATAAATGACATCCAACTGACCCTGGTCATCTAATACCTCAGAGATAGGTTAGATTTGTGACTGTTGATCTGCCAACAACAAAACCATGCTGGTTAGGAGAAACAGTACATTTAACAGAGTTGGAAGTGGTATTATAAATAATAACCTCAAAAATCTTACCAAAATTGCAAAGTATCGCAATCTGCCTATAGTTACAAATATTACTTCTATCGCCACTTTTAAAGACAGGACATACCTTGGTCATTTTCCAGATACGAGGGTAAGAGCATGTTAATATCATATTGTAGATCATGCAAAGCGGTTTTGCCAATACATGAATACAATCCTTTATTAAAAAACTAGGCACACCATCATAGCCTGAAGTCATTTCATTCTTTAACTTTCTAGAAGCATGAATTATATCTTACAGTGTTCAGAGATATATTCATACTAGTTAGATTTGAAGTCATGAACTCAGAATTAGAAGAATCAGAATTTATGAACCCAGTTGAAAAAAAATTTGCAAAAGCATCGACTATGTCCTGTGACGCGGCTCTTTTATTCGATCTTCACTGTGTTGCAAACTTGAACTTGATACTCAACCGTTGGATGATACAAATCGATAGTGTGGTAGTCCAGTAGATAAGGTAAAACTTGATTAAAACGCAGAAAAGACTGTACTGGAAGACGGCAGGATGGAAAAATTCTGAAACTCTGAAATGGATATGTTTCCTTTCCGTCCCTGAAACCATGACCAACCACACACAGCGCTGTTTTGAGTTCATCAGCAACTCATCAGTGCGGCAAAGGTTTAGTCTTGAAGGAGCGAGTATGATCTTTTGAAAAATCCAAAAGATTGTCAAAATATAGATAGGTTCATTAGACCTATAGTCTGAGAAATATAGCAAACAGTTTGTGGCAAATGATTTAGTTAAAATGTGTTAAGAGAGTTGCTCTACAATAATATGTTTCGTGCCACGACATCTTTCGTTTCAGTTTTTTATTTGCTAACGATAGGGTTAAGGCGGCTCCGACGCAGTGAGTTTCAAGCCATTTACAAGAGTTCAGATACTTCGAAACTGACACTACATTTTTCAATATTTTTTAATGAAATTCATACAGTATGTTCAAAAGATAATTGCCCAGGCTGCTATAGGAGCACTTTTTGGAATTTTGTTTTTGCACAAGTTTTATGATGGGTTTAAGTGCGCACTTTTTTTGTTCAACTTCGCGATATTTTTAAAAAGAATCTAGTGAAAAAAATGAAAAAGTGGTTCTATAGCACCCTGTGGGGTTTTGTTTTCAGTACAGTATGAAAATTTCATTCAAAAATATCAAAAAATAAAGCGTCAATTTTGAAGCGCGCAAGTCGTATTTTGGATGAATTTTGTCTACTGTTTCGTGCTGCCAACCGAAGCGTTGCGGCGCAATGTACGGACTAAGAAAGGACGTATTCAGATAATTTAGTGGCCCTGTTTCATATAATATCGCGTAGATAAGTCGTTCTGCAAATAGGTACTCATAATCGCGATTGCTGGTACTCCTCGATTTTAAAGCCGTTTTACTTCCCACGTCATTGGCGAGGAAGTATTGTAATCGCGAAACATTTCTAAAATGAGATATTATGTTTTTTAAGTCATATGTCATCTACATCACGAAAAACTGTATCACTCGTCAACTTGGAAATAACCGCTCAGATTTTTACGAAATTTCCACACGGTGTTACTAGTATGCCAAAGCTTTGTAGTTTTAGTCCAGTGGCAACGGTGCTATAGGCAAAAAAGAAAAAGTCACAATTGCTGAAACTCCGTTTTTGACATTACATGGGTTCCTTATCATTGACAGAAAAAAATTGTACTGCTTAAATAGTGGGGGTTGGGGGAAGGTGATTCTGAGTGTTGCATCTTTGATATCAGTGAAACACGTTCTATTATTAAGAAGCTTCTGATCCCAGTGATTACAGGAAATTTAAGAAACGAAAATCGGACGAATCATGTGTTCACGATTTGAAAAAATCGGTACCTGCTCTATAGATTTGAATTCGGATATCACTCCAGTCAAGTATAGGGGAATGTAGCGTGGAACTTTAAAATTATCGATATGTCAAGGAAATATGTTTTTGAGAATGATTATTTGGTATATTTTATACCTGAATTTTCATTTGAATTTCATGAGACGTGAAATGTACCCATTTCGCCGTTACGTTCAATTTCTGTTCTGCAGTTTGTGATGTTTTCCTGGATATAAGCAGGACATAATTGCCTAAGATGCTGTCAGAACGTTTTACAAAATTTTGTCTTTGCGCAAGAATTATGGTGGGTTGAAATGCTTACTGTCGAATTTGTGCTCAACTTCTTGATATTTTAAAAAGATCCTAGTGGATAAAATCGAAAAAGTGGATCATTAGCACCCTGTGGACTTTGTTTTTAGCACGCTACAAGAGTTTCATTTGGAAATAATAAAAAATGAAACGTAAGCTGTGAAGTGCAAATCGGTTATTGGGCGAAATTCGTCTACTGTTTCGTCCTGCCAGTCCAAGCGACGACGGTGCGTTCCGACTAAGAAAAAATGTATTCAAATAATTTGATATCCTTCCTAAAATAAATTCAAGAACTCAAATTACAATTCGTTTATTCATGTTAGTAAACACAATTATGTTTACAAGGGTCATGTGGTACATGGTAACAATTGAATGAGAGTCATAAAAATATCTTGTGCCGTCAAAATAAGAGGAAACAGTTAGGTATACTACAACTATTTAAAACTGTAATGACTCATACGCGTGATCAACACGTGATCAGAGCTCGATCCCGGCTTCCTTCCAGTACAGCCGTATAGCGTACGACATATGTCGTTTCTGTGGCTTTGCGGTGGTCAACAGCACAGACAGAGATGGAAATAATGGCTGATTGTTCTCCGCCGGTAGAACCAATGAAATCAAAGACGCGCCTCGACCGGCAGACTCATAGGCGTCGGCAACGCATTGGAACGTGTTTCGTTGAGCGATCGCATATTGTGTGTTTTTATAAGAATTGTTGTGTGATTGTTATTGTTGTTGTTTCTGTGGTTACTGTTTTGGTTATACTTAACCATGGAGAGTACAAATGGCACGAGTGGAAGTACTGAAAGCCAGGGAACAAGTAGACGGCTTCGTAAAGCACTGAAGAGGGACGCGAAAGAAATCGTGCTCAACGTGTTCAATTATCTGAACAGAACTGTGTCGCAGGGAGATGCACTCGCGCGTTGTGAAAGTATGACAGGCGTTCCAGAGTGGACCATTCGCAGGGTGGTGCATGAAAAGAAAAAAACTGGAGCTACTACTGATCCAAAGTTTAATTTGAAGGGACGAAAGGCCGTTAAATTGGATGACGATAGCAAAATGGCGTTAAGGCGAACCGTACATTCATTCTGCTTTAGGAATGAGATACCAACCCTCAAGGCTGTACATGCAGCGATCAAGGAAAATGAAATTATACCCCAAATGAGCGTCGAGGTAATGAGGAAATCCCTGCACGAAATTAATTTCCGTTACGAAACGCGTAATCGGAAGTCAGTATTGATAGAGAGACCTGAAATAGTCGCCTGGCGTCGAAAATACCTACGCGAAATGATTGAATATAGGCGACAAAGCAGAAAAATCTATTATTTGGACGAGACATGGGTAAATGCAGGTCACACAGTTAAAAAACCTGGATAGACAAAAACGTAGTGAGTAACCGACAAGCAAGCATTGAAGGTTTGTCAACAGGTCTTCGTGGACCGTCAGGGAAAGGTCAAAGATTGATCGTAACTCATATTGGTAGCGATAGTGGCTTTTTAGAAGAGTGTGACTTGATTTTCGTCTCTAAGAAAGGAGGTGATTACCATGACGAAATGAATGCCAGCTGCTTCGAGAGCTGGTTTCAAGGGGTGCTTCAGCGAGTTGAGCCCAACTCTGTGATCGTCATGGATAATGCTTCCTACCATAGTCGTCGAGCCGAACGTGTACCGACTATGGGATCTCGAAAAAGTGACATGCAGCAATGGTTGCGCGAAAAAGGAATCCCGTTTGACGATTCATGTGTGAAAGCGGAATTGTATGAAAAAATTAAACAGCACAAACCTGCGAACATTAGTTACGTGACTGATGAGATGGCCCGTCAATGTGGTGTCACTGTGCTGCGGTTACCGCCCTACCACTGTGAACTGAACCCAATAGAGCTCATCTGGGCTCAAGTGAAGGGTTATATTGCGCGCCATAACACAACCTTCAAATTACCAGACGTTAAGGTTTTACTTGAGACTTCCATACAGCTAGTAACGCCCGAAGCTTGGCAGAATGCTATCCGTCATGTTGTGAAGGAAGAAACAAAAATGTGGCAGCTTGACCACCACATCGACACCATCATAGAGCCAGTTATAGTCAATTTCAACGAGGAAAGCGATAGCGACAGTTTATTACTGTCAGATGTAAGTGGAAGCGACGATGAATAAAGGTAATTCCCAAATTTTTGACTTACAATATGTTTCAAACCACTCTTTATTAAGCATGTACAAATCTAGTTCACCCATGTTAAACATTCATACCCCGCCTATGAACAGCCGACTACTGGTAGTTAAGTGATGTTCACGTGAACATCGATGAGTCATTACAGTTTTAGATAGTTATAGTATAGTTTTTGCAAAGCAATAAACAGGTAGGCTTATACCTGGATTAAGTACATTTCTTGTTTACTGTAATAGGTAGATGGTGGCGATGCTGCCAGAAATGGGTGTGTGCGATCAATAAACAAACCACAAGACTGAACTGCGGTGTCTAATGATTTTTGTATTGCCTTTTTTATTGCGTTACTAGAAAACTCTGTTAGGTATATGATGGAGTTTACTAGAACTTTACAACTTGAAGTCTGCCATCTTCTACAAACTTCACCAAATCGAGACGCTGTCAACCTTATCCTCCGATGAAGGCGCGACAAAGTACAGTCCTGTGATTTGGTGACATTGTTCGATCTGCAAAATCTCGTCGCCACTTTTTTCAAGTTTCCTCAAAAATTTTCGCTTAGCAACCTCCAAATCAATGTAGTTAATGTCACTTTTTTTATTGAATTCGTAATAAAACTATTCATTTTCTTTGAAAGTGCTATCCGAATTGTTAGTTATTTTTATAACAGCTTTTTTTGGTCCGAGTTTCTTTTCAAGATTCTTGCGTTTGAGTCTTTGTTCCATCTTAGCGATAAGCGAGGTTGAACTAAGCTTAAAACGCAAATGTATTTAGACCACATATACTGGCCGCTGGGTATTGTGGCTCACTACAGCTGCAGCACATCTTCCATGGTATGACCTCTTCTTGCAATAATTTATTCGCTTACCCCAATGTATTTTGTTACACACTATTGTTGACCTCAACATGAATTAAACTCACTGCATTCGTAATTAAAATGGTCGCATATGACCCTTGATTGTCCATTATCAACCTTGATAAAAAAGGCACTCACGAATAATCACATCAACAACAATTCAACAACACAATATCGACGAACCGTGACAAGGGGAAAAAATACTAAATGATCACTTGCTGAGTACCAAAATAAAAAACAATTTACTTCTAGATCGCTTTTAAAGTAGCGCCTATGACCGTCTAGTCCCAACCCACCCTCGCTTCCTTTTCACCCCCCCGTTACCTCAGCAGATGGTGCTCGTGATTGTAGGAGCCCCGTTAAGACATATGGTGACCAGATTATACAAGCGTCATGCAGGATTTCAATGTCACCGTACAATGTCATGGATGCGATAGCGGCCTCCTCGAGCGCATCATCTCGTTTATCAGACGACGCTGATCCTGCACGCGCAATTAATTTGTGAAGCTCTGGAAACGTCGCTGCTGCATCATCGCATCGCCCACTCTCGTAATTGTCATTTGTAGTTGTTCCACAAACACACTAACATCGACTCATGTTCCGCGGATGGAATACAAAAGGCTTATCCTCGAACTGCACCATCAGCCATACTCATTCCTTCTGGGTTAATTGCGTATGCTTGTTAGAAAAAGTGTGACACGACGGATGGGTTCAAATTATACTGGGCGGACCAGATACGATTATTTGTTAATGGCAGATACAATGAATCTACAGTAATCAATCTGTGGACTGTATCAACCTGAAAATTTGAGTTTTAAAAACTCCTTAGGTACTTAACTAAATTGTGATATATCCCGCGCAAGGCCCAATTCAGCTAGGGAATAACTTAAAGTTTCATGAATAACTTCTGATTTCAGAAATATTAACCACAAGTTGTTCGAGAAAATGTTATCGGCTACAACATATAATTTGAAAAAGCTTGGGCATTCCAATATGGTGATAAGACGATGATAGAATGATAAACCTGAAAAACAGTAATCTCACCTCACAAGCGTACTACCCTGTACTTTTTTACTTTTATTACAAGGGTAGTACACAAGCAACTTATAGAGGGATTGATGTTATGATTTTTGGGAAAAACCTTTTGAGTAGCATCCATATTCTACCGACTAATGACATGCACAACTCTACTGTGCATTCATTATGTTAATTAGCTGTCTTGATACTGATCATAAAATATT